TTTACAAATTCAGATTTTACTACAAGTGTCTTCTTTCTTTGACAATTATACAGATAGCACTATTAAAAAACATGGAACTGATTGCCTCGTAACAACCTTGCAACTGACTTTACTACACCAATTTATTCTAAGAAAATAATAGTGATGACTATTATTTCCATAAGCTTATGTGTTTTGTATATGTATATGTTTTTTTCTTACTTATTCAAAATAAACTGAAAACAAATAAACTAACCACTTTCAGAAATATACGCGATCCCAAACTAAGAGAATAATTTCAAGGATGACCAAAGATACTCGTAGTATCGAATTAGGCAGTTGTTTTAATAGCAAACAATTTGTGAATTCTGTCATTTCTAATAAAACATGGTGATTGTGTTATGTATTATGGATTTACAATGTTGTAGATTTTAACTATATTGGACATATTTGACCACATATCCAAATTGATCCAATAATCCTGATATAAGCTTAAAGGAGATGTGCGATTAAGAAATCAGTGCAGCCTAACAGCTTGACGTTTTTGTTTCTGTGTGGTTCTCCAAGTTAATTTTCTATTGAAAATAATAAATCCCTTAATGTATTGCAAATTCCATATTTATGTTAGTTATTGGAACTCTGTTCATGTACTTCTGGTAAGTGTGAATGTGACATGATAGCATTTCTATTCATTGATATTGACACATCAATGAGATATCTTTAAACTGACTTGAAGCATTTGCGACACTCTTAGGATGATACAGATTAGCGGAAATAAAAGTGGTAATACAATATATTTTAGGAATATCTTATATAAATAAAATAATTGAAAGGACACCGACAACACTATCTTGTGTTATAGTTGAACTAACAAAACACCAAGTTAATATTCTTTTAGAATGGATATTATTTAAGACCGAAGTTTATTGTCATAGCACACCATAATTTAGATAAGGAAGACAATCACAAAAAGTGTTTGGTACTATCATTTAAGTATACATTTAAGAATACCTTGATATAATTATTATAATAAGCAGTAAAAAAATTATATTAATAATCTGAAAGGTTAGGTTAGGTTCTAATATCAGATTGGAGCTATTAGGGTAGGGCTAATGATTAGAGTTATTAGGGTGGAGCTATAAGGTTAGGGTCATTAACATAGGTTAGGTCTCTTAGGTTAAGTGCTACTTCTGATAACAAATAATATAGTTTGAGTTAATTCTATCCTTATACTTAAAACTTTGTTTTTAATATTAGTATATATATACATAATGTTGTTACAATTATTATATACATTAGTCTTTATTTATCTACACTTCATGTCAGTAGCTGGTGTTGTGTGCATTATGAATAAATTATTTTCATATTATAATGAACCTTTATGCATTCATTTCTTTATTATTTTGCAATTTGTTTAAAATTGATTGGCTTAATTGATTTTGGGAACGTGACATTTTAAGAATATCTGTGCAGTAATTACCTTAATTATAATATAATATTATAAGTTGTTAAGGCTTTTGATACTCTTATCAAAAATGCAAATAAAATGTAAATTAGTTGCAAAGATAGAAGTATCTTTTAAATTAATATCTTTTAAATAGAAGATTTTATTTAAATTAGTTAAAAATCAATTAGAATTTATCTATAATATTATCGAAAAAGGCTTTATTTGATATATTTATTTTTTCACTAATGATTGTCAAACATCGGGAATGCAACTGAAATAAATTAAAATAATGAAAAATAAGGAAATGCATTTTTCGCAGATAAAACCTCCGTTATGTAGAATAGTAATACATCAATTTTTTTGTTTTGTTTCATTTATTATTTAAAAATACATGTGCGGGACACTCAGTAATAAACACCGCTAAAGACTTAGTTACAACTAATAATGAATAAATATTATATTTTGGGGTCCATTTGGCAGATCCGGCCTAGAATATCTTCTTAGTCGAAGTGACTAGCTGATATCTGATAACAGCGTTTGTGCTAATAAGTTCGGGAGATGTGATAGCCATGTTGGATAGTCTATTTGATTTGTTTCAAATACAGATGGGTTATGAAGATCGTGCTGTAAAGTATTATTTGGGATATAGTTGATCCAAATCACTGTAATATTGCTATATTAGATTTCATAGTTGTTTCCCAGATTGAAACACCGTAAATTCATATTGATTTTACAAGAACTTTATATAGAAATACTTTATTGTTCAGTGATAGCTTTGAATTTCGGAAAAAAGCCAGTACATGTAGGGCATTTTTATACCCAGTTTTTGGGTTTCGTAAATATATGGTGTTTACAGGTGAGACCCCGATCAAGAGAACTCCCAGTTACTTCGCGTGATCGGATTGTGGCAGTATGTTGTTAATTAGTGTGACTGGTGGGCAGTAACCATGGGGAAGAGTGAATGTGATTTGTGCACATTTGGATTCGATAGTTTTGATGCTGTCTTGATTTGTTTGCAACTGACTAGTAGCGATTGTTGTGTTTTTGCTTTCAGCCATGATCACTGTAATTATCAGCTGAGATTGCGGTGTATAAGTTGATGTGTTAAGTGGTAGGTCCAACGTGGGCATTGTGTAGAGGGTTGAACCAAATACAGGGAGTGTATTTGGCACCCCAGCTTTTATAGGGAAAATTTTCGTATTATGGTGTTCTATTTTGAGCATTAAATATCGGTTATTGGTATAAGAGTTTAGTAATGCATAAAAGCTGTGTGGTAGATGCAATTTCAATTTTTAGAGCCGTCCGGTGTACCATATCTTGTCGAATGCTTGCGTTATGTCGATGAATGCTGCAGCGCAGTACTCTTTTCTTTGCAGATCATCTCTTGCGTATTGATAAACTCGATTTATCTGTTCAATGGTCAAATGGCGGTTTCTAAAGTCGAATTGATGAGCAGGAATTAACGGACGATTTTATTTTTTCGAAGACTTTTAAAGAAGTGTAATCAATATTCTGAAATAATCTATATAGAACAATTTTGTATAAGGTTTAAAGTTGAAATGATTGTGAATAAAATATAATTTTTCATGTCTTTTAAGAGTAAAATAATAAATTGAAAAAAAATCACGTATTTATTACTAATTGGAAATTTCGTAGGAACTTCCAAAAGTCGTTTACAATAGATGAATTTTTAGTATTGGCAACCATGCTATTTGAGCTACTCATTAGTTAAGCGGTTTCAAAAAGGTTGGACTAAATAAGCCAGCACTGTTATTGTTTCATATGTTATTTTTACAATAAGCAGTTGTTCTTTTGTTATATACTTACAAAAGAAAATGCCTATTATTATCTTAGTATGAATATAGAATAGTTCATATTCAAGTTCTTTAACGTCAAGACCAGATTCTTTGATCCATGAAAGTAAAAAATTAGAATCACGACATATTTAATCCATTATCTTATAATATTTAATTGAATTGTTTTAACTTTTTTACTTGTGGTGGAGAGTGGACTAACTCCTCCTCAATTCATTAAGAAAGCCGTTTTGAATCCACAAATGCTCCTAATAATGTGTAATAAAGAGAAGATCAAGCTAGAAACCAGAGAGATGCATTTACAAAGGCAAGAATCTGGTCTGTTGAAGAAGGGAACCCCCAGAAACTTAACCCTAATTCTGGCCAAGCCTGGACATAGACTTAAGTATAATTTATATTATACCTAGAAACAAATTTTTCAGCTGAGCCCTTTTTCAATTATTAATATAGAACTTTTTATCATAAATCCATAAAATATGTATTAAACTAATAACAGTAAGTACCTATTATTTTAATTTATCGAACCGTTTTTTTGTTTGTTGATTTTTAATCATAATTTTGCAATAGAATTATTTTCTCTATTATTTTTTTTTATAGTTTATGTATATATATTTATTTATATATATGTTATGTTATAATTTATAGCATTCTATGTTTTTTTAGTGAATGGTATTATATTTTATGTAACCTCTATCAGGTACCCCAGTTTTCAAAATATACCCAACAAAAAAAGAAATTATCTATGTTCTATTTCAAAGCCTTAAATTTTAATTAAATTTTGATTTTTAATATCTTAAAGCTGTATTAATTATGTAAGGTAAAAAATTGTTAAATTAATCAAATAATTACACATATAATGTATATAATTAGCATATTAAAAACCATTAGAATAAAATTATTTAAATAAATTTCTGAGCGAATGTTAAGGTGGGAAATAGAATGTATTTACAATATATATATTGCAAAGTTATTAAACCTTTTAAAATATATTTTTATCAACATTTTAGGTCAAATGAATAATATAATAATATTACAATAAAATCGGAATGCTTCCAATATGTCCGAGGACGAAACAAACTCTCATTGATAAAAATAACTATATTTTATTAATATAACTCCAGAGACATCATTTAACATTTCTCTAATCGTTTGATCTATTTTAAATATTAAGATTATGCAGTGTCCTTAAAAGATAGATGTCTTTAGTATCATCCTGTTGTACTCCCTGCTTAACCATTTATTCAACATAAGGTAATAGGAAAGTAGTTACTGAAACAAAAACGAGGGAAGAAATGGTTAATATACGATTTAGGAAATTTCGAAATAACGCCTATGAACGTGTTTACATTCACTTTTGTTTTCGTTAAATTCAATCATGTTCTACAAGTCCTTAGAATGTCACACGAAAAGAATTAGTTACTGATCATTTAATCTGAAGATGTAGTAATATGGAACAATTCATTACAAATGATTAGATATAAATACAGGAGAGCACAAAAAGTTCAAGAACTGACTGGTATCCGGCGCACCCTCGTAATGCCAGTTTGTATACCCAGAATATTTGAATTAGGTACTAGATATTGGAATACGTTAGTGAAATCAGGAGGAGGGAGAGGGGACGACATATAGTCATTAAGTTTTAGTTTTAAAATAA